CATTTGTTGATCTTGCAGAGGACTGGGGTTCAATTCCCAGCCCCCACACAGTGGTTAACAACCATCTGTAACTCCAATTCAGGGGCTCAGATGCCCTTTTCTGACCTTGGCAGACATCAAGCACACAAATGGTGTACATATATAACATTCAGATAAAATGCTCACAAAGGAAATAAATAGATCTAATTAATTTTTCCATAAAAAGGAAAAGTTACGGAGCATTATTGCACTATTACATAAATAAGATGTAGCAACTCTATAAGCAGTATAGTAAACAGCTCCCCTTAATCTGAAGTTGGAATAAGATGAACATTATTTTCAACAATTCTACCCCAATCAATAGATAAGAGAAATCCAGGAAGTTACTTTCTGATAAGTCAAGCTGCTGCTCCCTGTTTGAGATGAATTTGCTTCTTCTACAATAACAAATATTAAGAAACTGGCCCAGAGAGAGGAAAAAAACTAGTTAATAAATACCCAAAATACCAACTTGCACTTGTGAGAGTGTGAAGGCAGAGCTGATGATATGAAGTCTTTCATCATTTTCCACTTTATATTTCTGAGGCAGGGTCTCTCAGTGAACCTGGAGCTTGCCATTTCAGAGAGACTGGCTGGTCAACAAGCCCCCAGGATCCAACTGTGCCACCTCCCAGTGCTGAGGTCACAGACCCACACCACGATGTCAGGGATCCTCTACTTGTGAGGTAGGTATTTACTTGCTGAGTTATCTCCCCAGTCTCCATTTGAGGTTTTAATTTCTCTTTTCTCTCACAGGAAAAGGAAACAGGGAGGGAAATATAAATAAATAAATAAATAAATAAATAAATAAATAAATAAATAAATAAATAAATAAATAAGATAGACAATCCTGGATGGAAAGGCAGTTCTGAGGATAAGGGCAGATGCTTGTTGCTCTTCCAGAAAACCCAAGTTCAGTTCTCAACATCCATGTCAGGTGGCTCACAACTGCCTATAATCACAGCTCCTGGGGATCTGGCACCCTCTTCCAGCCTATTCAGGCATTCACACATATGTGGTTTACACACATATTTACTTATAAAATAAACTTCTTGGATTTCTCCACAGATTTTAAGAGTAGAAGAGACTAAATCTGGTATGTCGAGCATGATGACACAAACCTCGAATGAGGATGAGAAATTGAAGGCCAGCATGGGCTACACAAGACCATACCTCAGTGAACAAAAAAAAGCAAGAAGGGGGACTCGTAAGACCCCACCCCTCTACAAAGATCCGAAGGCAGCACTGTTGCTGAGGAGAGAAACATTTTCAAGGTGAAGCCACTGGCAAGATGGGAATAAGACAGGTTAGCTGGAGGTTGGCTGGGGTGGATATGATCGAAATATATTATACACATGGCAAATTTTTTTTGGGGGGGGGTTGAGACAGGGTTTCTCTGTGTAGCTTTGCGCCTTTCCTGGGACTCACTTGGTAGTCCAGGCTGGCCTCGAACTCATAGAGATCTGCCTGCCTCTGCCTCCCGAATGCTCCCCGCCTACATGGCAAATTTATCATAATGAAACCATTATTATAAATAACATTCTCATAAACTTAAAAATGTTTACAAATATATTTTAATTTTAATTTAGTGCTGCCAATACTTGTCAAAAAGCATTAATTATCCACCTTATGATGTTCCCCTCCTGAATATGCAATTATTCCCTCTTTATATTGATTCTCCATTCCTTAAGGAAAAGCAAACCCTTCGGTATTGTCTATTATCATAAATTCCAAGAGTTTCTAAAATTCAAAAAGACTATTTAATACCAGCACTCATGAGGTTAAGGCAGGATTTAGAGTTCAAATTTGAGGGCTACATTGCAAGACTCCGCTGTTAAAAAGGACTATTTTTAACCTCCTTTAAGCTAGGATAGTGAGTCATGTCTGAATTCCAGATCTAGGGATACTGAGGCAGGAGGGTGAGTTCTACTTTGAGAACTACAGAAAATCCCTGCCAAAAAAAGAAAAAGGAAAAACCTTTAAATTTAAAAACCTAAAAATTTAAAAATCTCATTTAAGGCTGTAGAGATGGCTCAGAGGTTAAGAGCACTGGCTGCTCTTCCAGAGATCCTGAGTTCAATTCCCAGCACCCACATGGTGGCTCACAACTGTCTAGATCTGGTGCCCTCTCCTGGTGTGCAGGCAGAACACTGTATGTATATACAGGAAAGATCTCATTTAAGACAGTCAGTGGCTGGTGGCTGTAATCCCAGCACTTAAGAGACTGATGAAGTCGATTGCTGCAACTTTGAGTCCAGTCTGGGCTACAAGTGACTTGGAGACAAGACCCTGTCTCTGAAAATAAATCGATAGATAGATAGATAGATAGATAGATAGATAGATCAATAAATGCTGGGGAGCCGGCTTGGTGGGCAGGAGTGCTTGCTGCCAAGCCTAATGACCTGAGATTGATCCCAGAACCCACATGGTGGTGGTGGTGGGGAAACAGGTTGTCCTCTGGCCTCCACATGCTCTATGACATGTGCACACATGAACACACAAACACACCCCACACAACAAATAAACAGGTAAGGGTAATAAAACTTTAAGATAAAAATTTTCATTTCCTTTAAGACTGTAGTTAATGCCCGGCGGCAGTGGCGCACGCCTTTAATCCCAGCAC